GGTACCCTGTACAGTTACACACTGTAGGGGTACCCTGTACAGTTACACACTGCAAGGACACCCTGTACAGTTACACACTGTAGTGGTACCCTGTACAGTTACACACAGTAGTGGTACCCTGTAAAGTTACACACTGCAGGGTACCCTGTAAAGTTACATACTGCAGGGGTACCCTGTACAGTTACACACTGTAGGGGTACCCTGTACAGTTACACACTGCAAGGACACCCTGTACAGTTACACACTGTAGTGGTACCCTGTAAAGTTACACACTGCAGGGTACCCTGTAAAGTTACATACTGCAGGGGTACCCTGTACAGTTACACACTGTAGGGGTACCCTGTACAGTTACACACTGCAAGGACACCCTGTACAGTTACACACTGTAGTGGTACCCTGTACAGTTACACACTGTAGTGGTACCCTGTAAAGTTACACACTGCAGGGGTACCCTGTACAGTTACACACTGCAAGGACACCCTGTACAGTTACACACTGTAGTGGTACCCTGTACAGTTACACACTGTAGTGGTACCCTGTAAAGTTACACACTGTAGGGGTACCCTGTACAGTTACACACTGCAAGGACACCCTGTACAGTTACACACTGTAGTGGTACCCTGTAAAGTTACACACTGTAGTGGTACCCTGTAAAGTTACACACTCCAGCGGCACCCTGTAAAGTTACACACTGTAGGGGCACCCTGTAACGTTACACACTGTAGGGGTACCCTGTACAGTTACACACTGTAGGGGTACCCTGTACAGTTACACACTGCAAGGACACCCTGTACAGTTACACACTGTAGTGGTACCCTGTACAGTTACACACTGTAGTGGTACCCTGTAAAGTTACACACTGCAGGGTACCCTGTAAAGTTACATACTGCAGGGGTACCCTGTACAGTTACACACTGTAGGGGTACCCTGTACAGTTACACACTGCAAGGACACCCTGTACAGTTACACACTGTAGTGGTACCCTGTAAAGTTACACACTGCAGGGTACCCTGTAAAGTTACATACTGCAGGGGTACCCTGTACAGTTACACACTGTAGGGGTACCCTGTACAGTTACACACTGCAAGGACACCCTGTACAGTTACACACTGTAGTGGTACCCTGTACAGTTACACACTGTAGTGGTACCCTGTAAAGTTACACACTGCAGGGGTACCCTGTACAGTTACACACTGCAAGGACACCCTGTACAGTTACACACTGTAGTGGTACCCTGTACAGTTACACACTGTAGTGGTACCCTGTAAAGTTACACACTGTAGTGGTACCCTGTAAAGTTACACACTCCAGCGGCACCCTGTAAAGTTACACACTGTAGGGGCACCCTGTAACGTTACATTGTGCAGAGTACAACTTGAAGCAGGAACACAACAAACCTCCATGTGCTTAACACAAATTGTCTTCTTGTCTGGATGGACTCGTCTCTGTTATAGAAATGTGGATTATTATCCTAAATGCTCAGGAGTGTTGCTATAGATAAGCATGATCCAATGCTTTGCGTTTAGCTCGGACGTATCTGACCATGTTACACGACACGCGTTTCATGCTGACCATTACAAATACATTGCACCCGCTTTCCTTACTTTCGATGTGCTGATTCTTCCAGTTTGAGAGCACTTGATATTTACTGCCAATATGTAAACGTCATTGTTTCCACACAAATCTCTCGTGGCATACGACTGGCATCGTGACCAACGCTACTGCCCAGCTGGCTACTGCCTCCAGCCGCGGCTGAGGCTCTCGCACACGAGAGCGGACCTTGAATTGACTCGCGTGTATGTGACTCTGGACTGCAAACCCCACGACACCTTGTCTTCTGTCCTGTGGCCAGTTATTGTCGTCTCATTAAACAGTCTATACGCATGTTTGAGTATAGTTCAATGTAGCATGGTTGGCTGGCTACGTACCGTGCGAAAGAAGTTCAAAGTACATCGTCTTTTTCGATTTTAATCATTTCTCGTACTTAATCCTAAAAACAAATTGCAACCCTTCATCGATCTAAAACTAAATGAAGACCTCTTATGGTGTTATTCATGGAGGCTGTGTAACCATAATTCACCATGCCCTCCAGTGCGTATTTGTAAAGGAGGAGACCCAGGACTGGTTAGACTCTCACCCAGCCACTGATGTTAGCCGAGGCCGGGATGCGATCTCCTGTGACCGACGCAGAGATCAGTAGCGCGAACCACTGCATCGCCACTCCTCCACTGTAATCCTTACTCTGCTTAATTGTAAAGCACTATAACTTTTATAAATATATTATTATTTTTAATTATAGAAGCTTAAGATGGTCCCTGACCAGCTGAATGTGCCATCACTCATCATTAAAATTCTATATAAATTCCGCATGGCTGACCGTGGTGCAAGGCACTGCCTTTTCACTATTGGTGGCGCGTGCTAATCGCTCGCAATTAAATTCAAATTACAGTCAATTCACTGGTTCCTAATGGGCGACCGCTAATCTGAAATATTCCCAGACCGACAAAGGCTTTGCTTCTCGCAGCTTCAGACGAGAAGTAGTCGATGTTAAATCAATGCAACACAAGTGTCAAAACATGAGAAGTTACATTCATGAAATCTCGTTGTCAAATATTTCACTGGGTAGTATCGTGATTACAGCCGTTTCTACACCATTGGAAAGTTGCAAGTTAAATTCTAGTCAGGGTTTGACTCGGCCGACCATTCCTCTGTGGTCCATGATATGAGCACTACCGTGTATGATGTTGTCAGTGGTTGTGTTGTGGAGAGACTGGTCCCTGCGATGGAGATGATGTCACTCAAATATGATAATTGTACAGCTTGCCGGAGCTTTAAAGTCAGATTTTCTCACTCGACGAATTTACAACTCGTGCCAGAGAGGTCCTGACATTGCACACACAGTTAGCTTCCAGAGTTGTTTCGTTTTTGGGTTCTGTCTTTAAGAAAATGTCTGGTTAATGAGATGCAGAGTGCACATGACATATCTAACAAGTCAGGTCGATCATTAAAAAGTTTGTTTAGCTGTGCTCGTAACTTTATATCCCTTCTTAATGGTGATTTCTTACTTCGCGGAGTGGGTCTATACAAGTAGATGTAATTGATACTCTTTGGTTTTTTCGGTAAAGTCACGTAGGTAGAAAAATAATAGATCACGACGTTTCGATTGCAACACAAGCAATCGTCATCAGGTGGGACAACCACAGCAAGAAAAAACTGCCTACTTCAGCAGTTTTTTTTTTCTGCTACAGTCCGAGTGACTCACGTTTGAATCCTGGCCACGCACACCGTGCCAGTATTTAACACGGTAAAGTGTCCCAAGAGGGCATTGCAAGGACACTGTGAAGCCAGCAACACACTTGGTCACTTTTGTCTTTTCATGATCTGGAAAAGCCAGGCAGAATGGGGTATTTGATATTCATTTGTATATTCTAGAATCTGATTTATGGTATGTATGTGGTCAATTTAATTTATGGTGCGTCTAAAATGTGACTAGCTCAAACCGCTGTGCGAGCAGAGAAGATGTGCATTGTAGGACTGAAGATGCTACGGGGAAGGGGACGTGGCATTGAGATGCGTGGGAATTTGCCGTGGATAGGCAGAGGAGGCGAGGGATGCCTCGATCATGGCCTTCAACGTGGGGAGCGAGGGCCGTGTGGACACCGGGGGGCAGCTCCAGACAGCAGTGTCAGTAGAGGACAAGGAGCAACCCCATCTGCCCAGTGAGCGAATTGTATGATTTATTTCACTGGGCAGATAGAAACAATAGCAGGGGAGTGCCGAGCACTCCGTGACTGCTGACGATTCGCGAAGCTGGTCTCAGTGCGTCTTCAGGTTCAGGTGTTTGCGTGAGAATGTTCCCGTTGAATTAGTCCGGTTGAATATTTAAACAAATTAATTAATGAGCTGATTAATCTTGATTCATTACTTGTTGAACACAGTGTTAGGAACGATTAGTCTGTGTTGTGCCCCAGAGGAGGCTGACATACGGTAACTCGGCACAGCGCACGCACGTGACTCGCAGGCTCAACCCGGGGAGCCATGGCTTTGCTTGAAATATCAATGCTGAAGGACCTTTTAAAGTGTCATGTGCACCTCATGCATTAATCATCTCTGCTGAATTGCTTAGTTGTTGCTCATGTCATTATGGGATTTGATTTTCCTGTTAATTAATCGTGTATCGTGGCTTCACGCACACATTTTCTACGCTGTAATGTGTATGCTTCATCATCCTCATCATCATCATCAGCCATGATCTATCCACTGCCATCCTACACAGCCTCGCAATGCACCAATCCAAGTGCCTGCTACACGTGAGCTGATCTCGTGTGCAGGGGGAGTCCTCCAGGGCCGAGTCCCCTCCTCGTTCGGCCGCCGCTCAGTCAGTCGTCTCGACCTGGGGCCAACTCCCCCTGCGGGAGACGCCTCTTGCCCTAGCTCATCAACGCAAAGCACTTCATGCGGAAATGACTTGACCTCGTCAGAGACAGCGTCCTACAGAAATACACCTGCATGTTGAAATGCAATGTCACTGCGTGTTTGCTTCATATCATGAACTTTATTTATACTGCAGGAATCTGATGACTTATGAAGCTCTTTCTCACAGATGTCCAGTCGGGGCAGATGGTCAGCGTTCTTCAGTCTAGCACTCGTGAAATGAAGCCACAAAAGAAGGCTGTCTCTCTGGTGTAGGCCAATTCATTGTTAAGGGCAATGCACATATTCATTATCCAAGCATATTTGTTTGCATGTTCTACCACTTGACGCCTTATCATAGGTGTCTATGTGGTGTTGCGAACGCATTAACACCTGTATTGTTATCGTTGCCTTTTCTATGTCAGTAGAATCCCCTTTGCCTGACCGACTTAAGTGACGCTCTCTTTTGACGTCTCAACGACGGAGGGGACGCGGCGATCGCCACCGCATCCAGGCGAGCCGGGGCTCAGGGCCGCGTTGACGCAGGGCTCCTGCTGCCGTGTGCCGTGTGTTCCCTTGGCTGGCAGCATTCGCCCCGGAGTTTAACCACAGCCATCCCACGGTGGTGCAGGCGGTGCGCGGCGGTTCGGTGAACATCGCCTGCGCCCTCCACGCCGCCCCGAGGCCCAGCATCTCGTGGGGCCGCGGCACCGAGTCGCTGCCCAACAGCAGCAAGTGAGTGACGGCCCATGGGAGGCAACGCGTCCCTCCGTCGCCCCAGCGATGTCGCCCATGTTTGCGATTATATTTAATGTTTTCTGCTCTATCCAGGAGAGTCGTAGGACTCTTTTTTTCAGGAGGGTCCTTGCTGCTGCTGCTGCTACGTTCGGTTTTACATTTGCAGATGTTTTCAGTTAATGTATGAGTCTTCATACAAGTGACTCAAGCTATGTCCCTCCATCTCTGCTCTGAAGAAGGGCCATTGTCCACAATCGTCAGTTTCCCCGTTATATTTCCATTTCATGAGGCAGTGATGATGAGAATGGAGGATGCTGCCATGGTGTAATGGTCAGCAGTGGCCACCAGCTCGCTCTACCAGCATGGCAGCTGAGACAACAACAACGATGCTTCTTCAATCTCTGCTGCTGCTGTCCACACAACAGTTGGTTAATCAACAGGTCATATGTCTTGATATTATGTGCGGATAATCTTCAAAGGTATCTGGCCTGGCTTGAAGAATAAGGCCCAAATTCCCTCCAGAAGGGTTGAATCGAGCTGACTCTCATGTAGGACGTTCCACCAGCAGGGAGCGAGCACATCGAGGACTACACCTCTACATTTACCACGGGGCAGTCATGATGAGGGCAGTGGGCTTTGTTGTTGTTGATGTTATTTTTATTTACATCATTATCTTTATAGCTGCACGACATCAGAATATCACTCACCAAAGAGTCCCGGTTGCGATTGATTACTTGCACTCATAAAGAGGCTAGATGAAATGTTTTATTCAGAAATGCAGAGTCCGAAGTTGCTGCATTCAGCTCCGCTCAGAGGTCACACGTCTGCCCAGCCAGGCCCTGGCTGCCCGTGAGTCTTGAGTGGCAGGCGCCTGCCCATATCCTTGCCCCATGCACACGAGCCTGGGTGTCAGCCTCCGCAACTGAAACCCCCTTTCATTGTAGACCTTGAGAGGAGGTGACCCTGTCGGCAGCGTCGATTTTTATTTTATTCCTTTGAAGTGCTCATGCGCAGTCTGCCCGGGACGGAGAATGCGAGCGGGAGGATGATCGATGCGGTCTGTACTCTCTCATGGAAATAATTAAACAACCTCCTCTGTGTGGCGCAGGCCGTGTGATTGCTCATCCCAGAGGTATACACGTGAAGGTTAGAGACCTTTTGTCATCCGTCTGATGACCATGGGTGTAGTGACTCGCCCCCTCAACAGGATTTAGTTCATTGCCACGATTCGAGGGCCACGTTGTGATTCGCAAATGCGTTCTGTTCTGCCGTAGTGACGCGCATAGAATCCACGTTGCTGTGAACCTGTGGAAACGGCGGTGCGCAATCTGTTAACCGTACATTGTTCTAGATTCCAGAAGTGGGTTTTGCCTATTCTTTGGGTCTTTCGGTAAAGTCACGTAGATAGGTTCAAAGAAGATAACAAAAAACTCCAACGTTTTGATCGCAACACAAGCGGTCGTCATCATGATGAATTCCTGCAGTCACGAAAGCTTTAAGTCTGGGTTTTGCCTGTCTTTGTATTGTGCATTTCATCGGAGCCGGAAGCATCTCGTAAGCTGTGAAGCAAATTCACAAGTGTCTAGCCCAAGCTGGGGTCGGCAATGCTGGAAAATTACGGAGGAAATTACACGGGAGATAGTCCTCGTCACAAAAGTACCCGCAAATATGGGATTTTTAAAAATTATTTCCCGTGACACAGAGTTGAATTTTTTTTCCTCGAGTAATATACGATGTCAAACGCTGATTCCGAGCTATTAAAACATACAAATACAAATGTTTATAGGCTGAGATTTAAAAAAATGACAAGTTCATTTCCAGATTTCCCCTTCTTAAAACGGTGGACCACCAGGACATCTTTCCAATCGTGTGGAACCTGTCCAGGGCTCCAAGCAGTTATAATAATGCCATTTAAAGTAACCTGCACAGAAACGCTACCCTCATTGAGCAATTTGCTTGGTAAATCATCCCTGCGTAGCGCTGTACTTTGGCTCAGGCTCTGTATTGCTTTTCATGCTTCTTCAGCAGATGGGACATCAGCCAGCCATTCACAGGGGGTGACTACTTCCTTCAACCTTGGAGGTTATGAATAGTCCATTATTCTGCCCGAATAACATATGTGAACAATCTTCGATACGAGTCATCATTGCGGCGTAATTGCATAACTAATGTGTGTTTCATTTCTCTGGAAAGCATTTTTTTTAAATAGGTCCAATAACTCTGATCCAGCAGCTGGTCCTGTTTTTTTTATGGTCACGAACGGAAATGAGCACTGTACCAATCGTCTATGCAAATGTTTGTCGTACGCTTGTGTTTATGTACTTTGTAGTATCAACGATTCAATTCCACTGTTTGCTTCGTAATTGTATGTCTAATCGTTGGGTGACGGTGTTCATCTATCGTTACACTGCCGGTACACATTTCAAGTTTGCAAGTTTCAAGGAGAGAGACCAACATGCACGCTAGGATTCAACCCAGACCGTCAGTTACACCGAGTGGCTGTTGAAATTATTTTCGGTTTCATCACATTTTCTCATTCGTTATTTGGGCTCCTTCTTTCGCTTGGCAAGGCAAATCTAGCGACGCTATCTGTGGGGATATCGAGCCTGTGAAGCCGCCTGTGAAGCCCCTGTGGAGACTTGCTCAACGTCTGTGATGTTGCCATTAAATTGGCAGTGCGGGTGGTGTTGAGTTACGTGTTATTTGGGCTAAGACACTGCCCAAACGATATAATTGTTATGTAGTTTCACACTGTGTTTAAAGGCTACCTTATTCTCAAGGCTGTAATAAAGACGATCATTTTTGCAGCCCTTTGTCCATCGCATGCTGTGTGGAACGTGGGTTATTCTTTTTGCAATTATTCACCACTCTGGTGAGTGCAGATTAGTGATGAATGGGAGTTGGGGGGGGGGGGATCCAGGACCGGTTCAGATATCACTCACCACTGATGTCAAGCGTGGCCGGGACTCAAACTTTGGTCGATGGGTTCATGATGCAGTGCGCCAACCGCTCTGCCACAATTCCCCTTCCCCCCGCCCCCACCAAGAGTGATGCCTGCTGGCAGGACGACTGAACCCATGTTTGGGACCACGCCGTCACCTCTGGTGGTGAAGCCACCGAGTGCTGGGCTACCGGCCGCCTAGTTACTTAATGCGCCCCTGTTTTCAATTTGCCTCCTCCTCCACCAAGCCCCCTTCCCCCCCCCCCGAGACTGCACAATCAAAATGCCACGTCTCGTTGACTGTGAGGTCTTGTGTCGGCGTCGCGTCCCTAGCCATCCCGCCGCACGCCCGGCGGGCTGCACACGTTATAAATGTATTTCAATTGTCGTGGGTGGCATTTGCTTTCCGATAATGGCCTAATTATTGAAATGGCGGTGTTTTGCGCCTTCACTACGGAGGTTCGTCTCAATGCACGAGAGCTGCAGGACGCGTCTGGGTGGCTCAGGAGGCCAATGCTGCCCCTGCATCTGAGTCATGGCACGCGCCCGCAGCCGGCGCGTGTGTGTGTGTGTCAAGGGCCCATTCAAAACAAAGCCGGGTTCTTTTATAACAAGTTTCATGGCCTCGACGCAGTCACCACTGACACGAAAAATACATTGAGCACAATTTACGGTTTGGTGCCTAATTTGAGCAAGGCCTGCTGTATGCTTGGTGTTGTCAAGGTGACTTTTAAAAAGAGTACTCAGATTATGTAAAGTGATGTCATTCCTTATTTGGTGCTTTTTTAAAGTTACAAAAATGCGATATCTCATTAATTTTACAATTGCTTTCTTCAAACAAACTATTCGACGTTGATTTAACTTTGCAAACATAAGCGCTGTGCTATGACTGTGGGCGTGAGTCGTGATCTGGCTGCTCCTGCTGCCGCACTCACATTAACCCAAGCTGCTCACTCCATTAATTTCCCCTTTGAACATATGTTTGTAAATCATTTCAGCATTCTATAAAAATGTAAATATGTATATAGCTATATATATAGACTGGGTAATGCTTCGTATTAGTAACCCAGCTAAACACGCACCAAGGTGAAGGAGCGGCCATGCACTTTCTTACTCCACTGCTGGTAGAAGGGTCTCCACGCTGGCCATACATCTTGAGAGAGGTGGGAGTACCTACACTTTATCCCTCTACATACAACCTGCCTGGTGGTACCCATTCATACGGCTGGACTGAGGCTGGGGGATTTAAGCAACGTGCCCCGTTTCTTCAGCTGTTGCGCCAGGAGATCGAACCAGCGACCTGCAATCCCGAGGTCGCCCCTGGCCAGTGTGAAAGAGTAGGCCGAATACCCTTTGGAGGAGCTGTCCAGATCTCCCTGCAGCGGAGGCGCTGGTGCCATCGGTGGCACGGGCGAGCTGTTGCAAGGGCTGCACGTTTCATCTTCGTTTCAATGCGGAGCAATGATTGATATCAGAACGACGCCGGTTGGTTGTGTGCGGCTATCCCGTAACGCGTGCTGCCACTCTGGGGCTTAAATCCCCATGCCGGGGAGCCATGGTGTGGTTAATGTAAGGAGACGTATTGCTTGCTGTCCCAATCAATTAAAAATAGGTTTTAAATTATGAATGTCTTCTCTGCGGTCACAATGACCGATGCAGGGAAGTATAACAACAGCTCGCAATTGCTTGAAGTGTGCATCGCCAACGTGTTATCGACATATGTTGGTGCAATAGCAAAATATAAGTGCCATATATTTGGGCTGCCTGCCATCTCAGGGTTGCCTCTGTACTTAAATGAAATCAAAGCGTCTGGAACATTTTGATGGACCCGTTGTGATACGCACTCTCCATCGGACTTTAAATACCCTATTGATCTCTCTGGAATACCAATTTGCTGATGTCACTGGTAAACTAGTGACCCACGATAAATAAGTAATAATCCTCTAACCCCTCAAGGGTAGGTGTCAAGTTTCCTCTGCACAAGTTAAAGACACCAATAGCCCTTGCACCGAGACAATGGGCAGTGTATCGTACGTTTAAACCATTGTGGGCTGTGCAACATTTTCCACACATTTCCACTGAGTGTGAACAAGCATTTCATGCTTTGCTAAGTTAGAGCATCTCATTTACTCACAAGAGTATTTTGTACACATGTTTACAATTAATTTTTTTTATATATAACGCTATGTTTTACTGGCCATTGAAAGTGTTCAATACCATCTTATACAAATATTAGTTGTCACGTGAACGTGTCGGAAAAATGCATGTTGGAAAAATATTAATAATAAAGGTTTTTGGGTTAGATTGCGCAGCTATAAATGTGTCGTAACCCTCCACCACCCGACACAGCCAGTATATACTTAAACAATCTAACCAAAAAAACCCCCTTTTTTATGAATAATATTGGTTGAGAAAGCCTAGGTCTTAAGCTGGAAAAATGTGTTAGAATCCATGTGTACGTTACATTTCTATTCCTTGCTTTTATTACGAAATAAATGTCTCTGTTTGCCTTGAAGAACGTGAATGCAAATGGACCGCGCTCGTTGTTGGCACAGCATTAGCGAGGAGAGGGTGGGGGGGCATTTACTTTGTTCTGGGGGACTCGACAGATGCGAGATTGAACTTTCATTAGGGGGTGTAGAGTGAGGAAAGGTCTTGTTTAGATGCAATATTGTAATTTTCTCAGCAGGAGCCTGGACAGAGGGTAAATGCCGCTGTGTGGCCGGGCTGCTGCTGCCGCCTGCGTGTGCAGAATGACGATCCTCGAAAACGGGAGCCTTGCGATTCGAGATCTGGAGCGGTCAGACCACGGAAGCTACACCTGCTTCGCCATGAACTCGCTGGGCAAGGCCAACGCTACCGTGACGCTGCAGGTCAAGGGTGAGACGCTTGCCCTACCGCATCGGCAGACACGGCGCTCGGCTTTCCCTGCCGAGTGCCGGGACGCATGCCGGTGGCGCGACGCATTCGTCGCTCGCACACGACGGTGACTGGCGCTGAACGTGGCCTCTAATCCAGCCAGCGGCGCGGAGGCAGCAGCGAGGATTGATGGATCACACACTGCTACTCATTTTCAGGAGAGTCCAGCATTGGAATCTTTTGCCCATTCCATTAATTGGTGTTTGGCTGAGGGTGGAAACCAGAGTGCCCACACATATGAGGGGATGGCACTCAAATCTCAACACAGAGAGACATACTCAACCGATAGGCTCAATCCAGTGAGTGGAACAAATCTGTCTGGGCCACAGCCATTGCTATGCTGCTGCCATCTCCTGGTATCTCACAGCCCTCGACTTCCCAGCAAGTGGGATTGAACAAAGCCCTTCACCTAATGTTTCTTGTGATCTCTGCTCAGATCAATAAGCTCTAACATTCCCATTCTTCCATTATCTTTATGAGCACTGTAAGTAATACGGTACTTCAATGGACCGTTAGCTTTTGCAATGTAAAACTCCAATTCTCAGAAGGATTGTCGTTCTATGTTTAAAGCGCCAGTTCTGAAACAAATGGCCGTATGCGGTGGGACACGAATTTACTTAAAAACGTATTAAGTATATGTGGCGTTTGTTTTGTAATTTACCAAATCTTTTCCAAATTCCCTAAGCCAGGTGCACCAGCAGATTTCATGCGAATGCCAGGCTTTCAATTACCACCCCTAGCCTTGCGCGCACATTGCACAGAGAGACGCTCTATGAAAATTAGATCGCTTGGTCAAGGGCAAGCGCAATCCGAATTTGGCGCTGGTTGTACAATACACAAATTCTGCTTACCGCGCGCGTCATTTACCCGTCACTTTTTGCATGTTGGGCGGCAGGCTGAGGCATTAAGGGAATACTCTGCCGGAATGCGCCGCGGTCTATGGACTGGAACACGGCAAGGTTGGCTGACGGCTCGCACAACTGGCTATCACCATTCGCGCCACGTCAGTCATTGCGGGAATGTCAGCTGAAGGACCATTTGAAGCCCTGCCTATCCTGAGGGTTTGCTGAAATTGCATAATCGAGCTCGTGTCTGGGACGCATCGCAGGAAGAGGGCCAGCCATAGGTTCCAGGTTGAGAGAAAAGCGATTCACGACACACTCTACTATTGCCTAACCGCATAGGCCAAGAAAGCCACAATAATTTATTGATACCACTTACTTTGGGCCGTACTTTAATATCTTAATTTGTATGATTAATTATTTTGTTTGCAATAATTTAAAGTTATCAATAGATTTTGGTCTTTTATTGTCGGCGACAATTACTTACAAATGCCCATTATTATGTTTTTTCGTAATGTGCGTGAATGTTTTATTGATGAGAACACGCAAAATATGAACCCAATTTTTATCCATTTCCATGAATTCAATTACACCAAATATCTCATTAACCGTCTTAGATCCCATTAAGATAATATTTTTTATTCATGCATCGGAGATATGTTGGTATGAAGAGCGAGCTGTAGGTGAAGGCATGGAGACGCTGACATGCACTGCCCGATTCATACGGATCACGATCACCTGCTTAATGTCAACTACCAGCTTCTTGGCCTTTTGACCAAAATCACACGAAATCTACTAGATCTCAGAAGCCAAGCAGGCTTAGGGCCTGGATGGTGCTTAGATGGGCAACCACTGAGTATAACAGGTGTTTCAAATCTTGACTTCAAGCTTTCGTGACTCCAGGAATTCATATTCTTACAAGCTGTGGGATAGCCGAAGACGGTGCATTAAAATCCACTGTCAATACACTGTTACTGTTAATACACCTCCGATTCGCACGGTTGGCTACGTATGGTGCGAAAGAAGTTCAATAAAAACAAAGATGAAGACATACATACACTGTGTGTCCCCGCGTCTGAGATCCCTGCCTTCACCAGCCCAGTGACCAGCGTAGTCAAATAGGGTCAAACAATCCCCACGACTGGCACAGCCTAGAGAGGCGCTCATCCAGGAGCGGAATGACAAAGTTCCGTAGATGCACATCTACTTACTGATCTACTTACTGTACACTCGGATGGCGACTGTGAACAGCTGTGAGCTCTGACAGTAGGGAGAGGAAGCATTGGCGAGGTGCAGTGGCATTGCCTCCATTGGCCGTGATGACCTCTTGACTTTGCCTTTGTGTCATTTTTAGCAGGAATCAAACTGTCATTTCGGCACGTGGTGGCTCAGTGTGACCCTCGCCAACTACCGGAGGCTGTCTGCCCTCGTTTTCAGAGCTTGGCTTTGTGCGCAGGCCTTATCGGCTAAAGCACCGCACAAGGGCATCGCCGGGCGTCCTCCAATACTCGCTCAATTAACCCTGTCCCCTGGAGAGTGACCCCCAAGGAGAGAGCTGCAGTCGGTTTTCCTTTTCGCTTGTTGCGAGCGTTCAATGGGGCTGTGTTATTGAATGAAGAGCAAACGCTTCAGGTTTTTTTTTTTGACATTTTGTTTTCAACATTTTCTCCGTCTAACCCCCGAGTTTGTGTAATAGCAGTAACAGCAATGCCGTTCGTTAACCCGGGAAAGTATCCACGATTTTCACGCATGATCCCGTATTGCGATGTTTGGCAAAAATTCGTTTCTTAACGAGTGCTTTTTTTGCACGTGGGAAGAAATTGTCGTGCCCCAAGCAAACTCTCATGCACAACAAGAATATTCACAAAGCCAAAATATCCTCTTCCTTAATTGTGGATTATGAAGTCACTTTCTGGGTTGACATCTCACCTTGTGGCCCAGTGGGATTTTAATAGATGTCTGTTGGGATCCACCAACTCTGCTTCTAAGGTGCTGGATGAGAGACGTGGGCCATGGAGGCGCAGACTGAATCAAGTTTCCCATGATGCAACTCCCTCGAACCCATATCAATGTTTAATGGCTGTAATATTACTCATGTTTGTCTGCTGTCTTTCAAGGGTTTGTCTCGTGTACCTACTAAACTCTGCTGTGGAAGTGTAATGATACATCCAGTCCGTACCATCAAGATTAATTCACGTGCCTAGGAATCAATTTTGAGCGTGTCTTTGTTTTTATGCGGCTGCCCCTCCCCCCATTCTCCCAGACAATCGAGAGTTGACTTTGGGTGCAGGGCTTTGTCAATGACAGAGCTGAGGACGCCTCTGTCAATAGTAGGGCTGAGGGCATTTGACGGTTTATCTATGCACACAGTTTATCTTGGCTTCTCAGGCACGAGACCAGGATTCTCTGTCAATTAGGATCTCAGCAATGCTGGCAGAGTGCTGGCACAGTGCTTTAACGTTGGACTATAATTATCATGACCATATTCCTCTAAGTCACCCAAATGTATACAGTGGACACGCATTTTAAGTATTTTTTTTTAAATTGCCGGAAATCCATCTTCAAGCAAGAGACTGCAATACTCTCGTATGATGGATGAGACTGCTTAGTTTCTCAGCTGTCTGGAAAAAAAAAATTCCAACCAACAAAATGAGTATAGTTCACGTCCTCTCGAAGCAGACAAGGGCCCAGAGAGACATTCTGATTCACAGGAAAGACCTGGGGAATGTCCAAGAATAAAATGAAAGATAATTTAAATATTCCACTAAGTGAGCAACTTGTTACAAACTAATGTTTCAATTAATCATTGCGGCTGTATATTAACGCAACATTTTTCATAAAATTAGTGCGAATATGTATAAGGTTCTGAAAATAATCTCCTTCGAAGGACAAAAATTGCCTTCTGTGGTTATTATTCGTCAATCTACTGCTGGATGAAGTTCTCCCCAGGCTGTCTCGGTAATGGGGTTATTGACCAGAGTTCACAACGCTGGTCTGTGTGGGTTTGTGAGGGGGGGGGGGGGGGCGCTTTAATTAATAACTCGAGGGCCATGATCTCCCTCGCAGATCTTGCACTGAGATTCGGTGAGCTCCTCGAACCTGGCTCTTCCAGGCCAGACAGGTGGGAGGGGGAGCAATTGGCTCCAGGGCCTATCTTCTTATCCACGCATGGGCGGTGGACAATTTTCAAGATATATCAAGCAAAACCAAATTGCTTTGCTTATTTGCATATTAGGTGCCGTTCCAACGTGAACCATGCTAGTTCAGGTGAATGTATCTTATCCTACATCATTAATGTAAAACAATGAAAAACAATGAAGTACAACATTTAATAAATTGTATTCATGCGTACAGAAATGCATTGTAATCACATTTCTATGGTGAAGCTAAATATGAAATCTCAATGTGAATTTGGAAAATATACATCTCAGATTTGTGACGACATGTAGGTCATTTTAAGAACCAAAGGAATGGGTAGCATAGCTTCGTGGGCCTCAAGATGAATGAGTTTACAACAAGTGTGTTCAAACAAATTGGGGTCTCTGTTCGAAGGGCACAGCTGGGAAGCGGGGCAGAGATGTTTTTCTTGTTCGTGTTTTGTTTTTTTGTTTTTTTGTTTGTTGTGGTTGCACCCGATTCAAGAGTCGAATGGCTCGCAGGGCTATACCAAAATAAGGAAACTGAAACTGAACAAGGGCCAGCCATTAAAGAGGTGATCCAGCATCGCAAGCATGGAATAACGAGGCGGACCAAAGCAGGATGGAGTGCATTTGAGCATAATAATAATAACAACAAAAATGAAAACGTCAATATGCCTAGAGATTAATACTTATATATTTCCACAACCACAGTATGGATCACGACATGGACACTGACAGATAACTTGGAACAACAGCTGAGCAGAGAAAGACTAAGCATGGAGAGAGGATCACGCTCAGAATTACACAGTCAGAGCGAGCGGCACATGGATGAAAATTGGTGACATCCTCTCGACCGTTCAGGATAGTGAGTGGACTCGGCCAGGAAATGTCGCTCACACAAATCAAGTGGTCGAGAGTAACAATGGCGTGAACAGAATTAATATTCCACCAAATGTGGAGATGGAGCTTTGAAATCAGC